GAACGCCACTCTGGTGGGCGGCTTTGAACGGGCATGAGGGGGTAGTAAAGATGCTTTTGCAACGTGAGGGAGTCAATCCCCGCCAGGCAGACACCTTTTATGGCCGAACGCCACTCTCGTGGGCGGCTGAGAATGGGCATGAGGGGGTAGTAAATATTCTTTCAGAACGGAATGATGTCCTTACCACCACACCTGATAACGTCCTCACCACCCCACCTGATAACGCTGGCCAAACCCCATTGTCATTGGCTCTCACCAACCAACATCATGATAATGTAAAGATCTTACGGGAACGGAACACAACCAATTCCGATTCCCCAGATCTGCCCGCCCAGCCTTCCCTCCCGCCACCCACTGAGCATGTGGACGAGTGCATGGCGGCGACCCCCGTAATCCCGGGCCCCGCTTGCCCGCTTGCGCCCGCGCACGTACACCCTGCCGAGCCGGAAGCGGTATCTGGCGTCAATGACACTCTTCCCAACTCCGCAGCTAGCGATGTGAACTCAACCGAACCGTCCATGCCCTCTCAACTACCGAAGCTCCCATATTCTCCTATTCGAACAGGCTTTCCTCCAAATAGCACCCGATCAATCCTCCAAATTCAGTCCCCGCACTATTTGCTCATCGCCTTTCTCATTTCTCTCTTGGCTCTTCTCATTTACCTCCTCCCTTCCTTCCTTCCAGCCATATCCTACTTCAACAAATAATTACTGCTCGTGCGCTTGTTATTGTCACGACCTCTATGAGTTTAGTTGTACATAACTTTCATAAGTACAAGTGGTTTCCTGTATCAATTTGTACTATATTTCTTTGTTTCCCCCCCTTCATCGCCATTCCTTGTCCGGAGTTCTAGTTAGCCTTTGCCCTGTAATTTCTGCTCATTCCTCCTTGCCATTATTCCTCAATATTCATCCAGTATTATCTAGATAGAGCCATATAGAACCCCATTATTCTCAATCATGTCTTCATAGACAGCAATCTTCATTATTCCCGTCCTATTCTACATTAGTAATCCCCTAACTCACCTCCTTGTAATATCTATCCACGCTGCTAAGTCACTATGATAGCATCAATTACCTGCACAAACAATCGACTGCACTATACTCAGGCACTTGTGAGGGCTCCGGGCTATATAACAAGATGGGACCCTATCTGTGCATAAAACCCTCGCTCTAGAATCCTGACTATGTTTGCTTATTCCGGAGAATAGGCGAATGGTCAAATAGTATGATACCATCATGAGAGCAAATGGGGGAGTTAGCGCTCTGTGATCTATTTGGTAAACGTCGAAAACTACCCCAGCACCCGTGAGAGTATAGTACAGTCCCACCCTGCTATCCCTTACCCCTCTGGACCGGATACTCTGCTGGACCGGGGGGGGGGTCTTTTGCTCCTCCGATCCCTCTCAGAAATAACCCCGTTAGACCAGAAAAGGGTGTTTTCGGATTTGCTTGAGATGTTGGGAAATCCTCCCCTTGTTCTTATAGAAAATCAACCTCCCAAACTGGATGCCATGATTACAGTTAGAAAAGCTAGACCAAAAGCCGAGGAATGAATGGGCCAAATATAGAGAAAGTAGGAATGCAAAATGGGAATGAGGTATTGCAGGCTCATAGCTGAACCGGAGCATCGAGGCTGAGTACTCAAGTACAGTCTTTTGGGTCCCTACTACCGATACTCTAATCACAGTACTGAAAAGGACAAATACTACCTTGAGTCAGATAGCAAAAAGAAATCAGGAAGCTCTTCTTGTAACACTAGAAAAAAGAAGGAGAATAGATACCTGAATTGATGGAGAAACGGAATAACAACAGGATCGTTTGGCTGTTCTTATTGAAAGTCATGGGTACTCACTTGTCATTTGATTGTTCTAGAACTTGTTGGTCAACCTGGTTGGTGATGGCGGTTGGTGGCTTTGTATGTGAGTTTCACACTAGCAGAGATTTCTCCTGCTAGTATAGTTTTATTTCATGTTCAGTTTCAGAATACGGGAATGGTCTCTATCGGGGGTTTGGATACCTGCTGGTAGTGTTCGGCAGTCTTTCGGTAAGGCTCGGTACGCCGGTTACAGTGGATACAGGTGTGAGAACTTCTGTCCGAGCTGGACCTCGGAACAGAAGGGAGATACCGGAAATGCTGGGAGGTCATGTTTTAGGATAGGGAGGATTTTTTCACCGCATGTTGATAGGTATTCTGATTGTGGCTATGGGCATCATCGCTCTATATAAAACCCCCCCTTATTGCCCCATAGATAGAAAAAATTGAGCAAGCAGAAGACGTTAAACTCCTCCCTCTATTTGTCCTCCATTCTCCCACAACGCATATCCCGCATATCTTACAATAGTTCTCGACTCACAATCCCTGCAATTCCAAATAAGTTACCGTAGTCTACTTGATTCACACAAATTGTAGAAAGGGCTTCACAGTTCGTATCTGGATGTTCGTTGTTCGACGCACTCAGCTCGCGCTTTCCCGTTTTGCAAAGAGCTTCGCAAAGAACTTAGAGGATAAGGTTCGTACAGGCCCCTCGCAATCACTTTCCCACCCCTTTGCTCCAAAGACCAGTCACACCAAGAACCTTAAATCCCATGCAAAGCCCTCAACAAAACAAACATGTACAGGATACATTATCCAGGGTATTTTGAGGTAAATAGGAAAAAACTGGTAGAAAAAAACTTCTACAACTTTTGCCTCTATAGTACTTGAGGTAATGTACGCGAGTAGGCCGGCAAAAAAACACTCTACACGGCAGCTGCGAGCTTGACTACCAGTTGTGATAATACTGCCCATTAACAACGATCATGATAAACTCTCCTGTAAGAGTAGACTCAATTTATCCCAATTGATATTTACTCCTCTTCAAATGACATGAACCCCTCCCCCCGTTGTCCCGGATACCCGTTGCCCAAGATGAAACCCACAAAATTTGGCCATCCGGGATACTGTGCTTGGCTCGCGGTATTTGAAGTATGTGGATGACTTTTGGCGCCAGGATAGGCACCGATCAGCACCAAGGTGTCAAGATCTTTTCACTGCGCACCCCGGTATGATACTTGTATCGTAATATGTAATTCCCGGGTTTTCAATACAAAGTTCTTTCAATTCTTCACTGACAGAGATGAAGTTGTCCCCACTCCCTTGCAATGCAAATCCCATAGAAATTTCCGGCCTTAGAGTAGATTTTGACCTCCTCTTAAGAACTTCGACTTCCAGTTTTTGCAAGATATGATAGTTCCTGTATTCTGACATTCAGTCATGTGAATATTTGGGTCAGGCTCCCCATCAGAAAAATTACTGGAATATTCTCACTCCTTGTTGTCAGATACATGTGTATTTAAAATTGGTGTTTTGGATGGGGCACTAAGAGGGAGCGCACTTCTTCTGTAACCAGGTTCGTGCTTGCGCTTGCAGCACCATAACGCAGTCAAGGAGAACAGACAGGGAAGACCGAATAGCCTTACTAAATTTGAGGTTAACTGCTGGATTCTTTTGGCGTATTATTCGCTGCCGCCTCCGTTCGTTGCCCCATCCTCTATGTTATAAAGACCAAGGTAGCACTAAAAAGCATAAAAACTAGCTGAGCAAGTGATGCCTCATGAAGGCCGAGCAAGAGTAATATTGGTGGAGAAAGATATCTATGGAAACAATGATTTTTTTAACCCGCGCCAACGTCACTTTTTTCCCTCGATAGTATGATGACTTAATACCCGGATAAAGTAGCAACTTTGGAATGAAAGAGTTTCTCAGCCTCCGCCCATACTTTGGTGCTCTTTCTATCCTTCAACGAAAGCAAACTCGGAAGCAAATCCTTGCTGAACGCTTCACTGGCCTCACACGGAAGGAGAGTAGGAAGGTGATCGATCGAGATGACAGAAAGAGGAGGCCGCCGTCACTGACCCTGCGATATCAGGCTATGTAGCAATACAAACTAGATATTTTGTTGTGTTGGGAAACATACCTGACAGGGACGGGGACCGTCGGCTCACCAAACGTAGTATTTATGCTGTAGATGGGGATAGGGTTATGGGGGTTAGTAGTATCACAGCTAACATCCACAACGACCGAAAGCTTGCGGTCGGGGTTTTCCAAGGACCCAGTGTCAATGAAAGGAGGAACCGGCTGATTGAGGTAAATGCAGTTGATAAAGATGTCGGCTATGAAGGTTTGGGTTATAAAACCATTCCTGGGATAGCGCTCAGCCGCGAAAGGAACACTCACATTCAACAATCTCGACAAAAGGCCCGCCCTTAGCCGTCTCAGCCATATCCCATTGTAAAACATTCTCGGCCGGGACGCCGACTTTAAGCGCCAGATCAACAGCGGCTTTTCCACATCTCCCCAGAGCACCAATCACCAAAATCTTGGGATTTCTCCCTATCTTTGCACCTTTGAATGGTCAGTAATCTCAGAAAGGGAAACAAGAAACAGAGAGAACAGTAAGGTTCTAATGATGATAAGGAGATCATACTACTCTCAGTAACCACACTCTTGACGTGCGAAACCAAAGCGTCCTCACTGGGGTAAGGCTTAACACCACGGAATTCCTCTCCAGGATGAGCATGCGGCCATGCCCAAGCCTCGACACCCAACGCGGCACCGGCGGATCCAGCATGGTAACCGAACGCAGCAACTCTACGACCGCTATCATCCTGAAGAAACTCCAAGTCTAGGAGAGTACCCTAGCCCTTAGGGAAGCTAGAGAGAACGTTCTCCCAGCCACCTTGGTCCTTGTAACAATGGGCGAATTGGATGTGAGTATGCTTGAGTGGGACTAATAATCATGAGTATCGAGCGGGCCAATTCAATAAGGGGGGGGGGCGTGGGGTAGACGTACATACAATCGTCCTTAGGGAGTTCCTTAAGGCCAATAATAATGTGCTCCGTAGGGGCCTCTAGATTGAGACTGCAACGGTTAGTGGCTCGGGGCAAATAGCGTACTTGATACAAGATGGGTGGCCAACACACCAGTCCAGGAGCCCTTAGGAACGAGCGTAGCGCAGACCCTTTTGATTAATTAACGAATTGTCTTCCGCGTAGGTGTCCCGGAGTGTATCAAGCTTACTTCTCAAATTCACTATCACCAAATATCCTCTGCTCACTGCGCTCAACACGGACATCATAACCAGCACCCAAAAGAGCGCTGGCAGTGGTAGGGGTTACTATTGATGACAATTCAGCAATTGGGGGATATTAGCAGTTCCCAGGCAACCCACGGGCATCGCTCTGCCCGAGCGGTTTAGCTGTACACGGAAAAATGTGAGTTCCAATGTTTGGCTCTTGGAACGAGAAAGCCAAGGATGCCAGAGAAATTCAACCAAAAGTGGAGATTGGATTGAAATTCATGAGGAACAAACTCACACTTTGCCAGACATATATTCTCTATGGTCTCGTGTGTTGCGATTTCTTAGTGGTCGTGTGTCTCGTACAGTCTCTTACGGCGTTGCGAGATTCTCGAGTCGCGAGAGTGGCTGCAGAAGCGATCCAATGATATGCGGTGTAACTTTAGAGATGGAAAGAAGCGAAAAGCAATGGAAAGGAATATGATTTTCTATGTGGGTGGTGTGTTGTTTTTCCCCAAGTCCTCCCCGGTGGCTGTCATGTATGAAGGACAGAAATGAAGTCACACTCCCAATGTGCGGATTTGTGTGCCAAGCCATCCCCTAACTATCAAACTCTGCAGGGACGAATACCCTATCAGATAGCATGACCAGGCCCTAAAAGCCAATACGTCTTCCACGCCGGTACCGTATTGAGACAAGAGAGAGTGGAACAGGTGTGTGAACACTAACCTGTCAGGGCTGCCAAAACGGTAAGTGATAGCGCCACTCTCGCCACTTGGGAATCTCGCAACGCTGGAAGAGACGGTATTCTACTGGAGGAAATTATGAGAAGAAAAGCTGTCCATAGAACTATTGAAAACAGTAACATCATAATTTCCGGTATACAAATTTCTGCTCGACCGCTAACGGCACGGGGCTGGTACGCAGTTAAATCCCCCAATGGCCCCAAGGAACTAGATTCGCGCAAAGAAACCAGCTTTGGCGCAGGCTTTGAGGAAAGCTTTGCTCCCTATGGTTATTACGCTGCGGAGAGTTTAAACTCATTTAAGGTTATAACTGCTAGTGAAGTAAGTAGTAGACATCTTTTCTGAACATGCTATCCAGTTATCCTATTGTTAATACAAGTATTGGTGCTCGGAGAAGCATGTGGAGTTGGCTTGTTTGGTGTTAGAAAGGAAAAGGGGGGGTTAGGTTGCACCAACACATTTTTCGGTCCCTCTAGTACTGGTATTACACCAAAACGGGTAAGCCGACTGGCAACGCTTTAAACATCTTGTTCTTCCTCCCCCACTCTTGCTTTCCACAACCCTCCAAGACTTCTACATACTCCCTTTGATAGCGTCATAACCCAAGTACAAGCACTTTCTTCTTTATTAGCCTAGCCGCTGGTCATAAAAAATAATGGCAGACGATAGCGCCCACGATGTGGAATTCCCCCCAATCACTTCCCCCTCCGAAAGAGCAGAGTCTAATCCCTCAGTCGACATTGATCGTTATCTCAATGAAGGGCTAGAAGGGGTTGAGCGGCAGCAATATCGCGATGTCCGCTCCTTCACACGGGCCATTAAGTCGCAGAAAGACAATCTGCGTGCCGGTAACCTGATTGTTGGCCAGTACGCTGTGTTTTCCCCCGTGGCGTTGGACCAGCTTACGGATCTCCAGCGCTCCCCTGACGCCCGCCACCAACCAATCTGCTTCCTATACCTGAATGACGCAGAGACATTGATTGTCAAAATCACGCCAGACAATTCCCACCGAGTGTCGGCCAGCGAGCTTGCAATGATGGTACGCGAGAAGATGTTGGAAATGGGCTTGTTTGACCATCTTGATGATCTATATGCTCCAACCCGTCACGGCATCCGGTCTCAGAAGGAAGCAGATTTAGTACTCATACCTACCGCTCTCTCTCTTGCAACCGGCTGGCCAACCGTTGTCTTCGAATGCGGGCTTCCTGGGTCCCTTAAACGCCTGAGGACTGATGTAAACTGGTGGCTTGAAAACTCTGGGGGGGCGGTAAAGGTCGTACTTCTTATTTGTGTCTCTCAACAGCAGCGGACGATACATCTAGAGCAGTGGGAAACTCGGACTGCGCCAAACCCGGAGGTGACTTGCACCAATAATTCTCCTCAGGTAGCAAGAGCAACAATGGTTCACGAGATCGAGATCGCCGCGCCTATCCCTGCTGAACCGCTTCTCCCACCGGTTGTTATTGGGGCACCGTTGACCTTCGATTTTGCAAAAATCATGCTTCGCCAGCCTGGTCCTGGTGAAGGGGACGTAGTTTTCACTGCAGAGGATCTCGCAGATTATGCTACTATGGTCTGGGAATCTTGACAGTGAGGCATGCTCCCGATTTGAATTGAGAAAGTCCGCCTCCCATAATTGTATGTGGGGATTGGATTTGGGGTTTATTGTGAGGGCTAATTACAGAGAGCGGGAGTATTGGATAACGCTTGCAGATGGGTGATATCTCGGATGAAGGGATGGGACATGGGACATGGCTATTTGCTTTTTCAAAGTAAAATGGAAGGCAAAAGGGGTGTTTGAGAAAACTAATGTTTGCTGTTTCTTCTTTCATTCCATGTATCCCATCACTACAATAGTTCCAAAAGGTTCCTATGAGATAAATCTTTTTTTCCCATATGATAATCTGCAACTGCTGTAGTTACACGATCGCTGTATTCCCCGCGCGATATCTGAAACCCTTTCCGGCTGCCATCGTTTGCCACTGCTATTCCATACGGACGGCAGCCGGTAAGGTGGCTCAACATTCAATCCAATTGCCCTCCAATATCAGCTTTTACATCAGAGAAACACACAGGATGAAGATACCGCAAGGCAATGTTTAAGGCGAAAGGAAAGAGGTTTATGGAGGAGGCAATGGCATGGCAGGATATTTTGGTTGCGGGGGGTGACGGAGGGGGAATGCGCGGAAGTAATGTGTGGTTAATGTGTTGGACGTGTAAAACGAGGACTCAAGCTCAGTCTATCACTGGCATGCCCAGCTTCCCTGAACAAATCCATCCAATACACCCCCGAAATTCCTTCTGAGAAGCCACATGTACCATGAAATTGCAACGAAACTCGGGGGAATTACGGCGACGATATGGCTTTGAGGGTGGCACAGAGCCAATTCTATCACTTCGTTGGTGTGGGCATCAGGAATTTTGAGTCATGCGGGGGGGGTGGCCTTGGAGCTGCGCTACTTGCGAAATCTCCCGGAAGTGTCTGCTGATGCGCTTGTTCCTTAGGTTTCGGCGGTCCTCCGGATTCCGAGAGATAGCGCAGATGGCTCACGGGAAGGTTTCCTGGGCTTGTCTTCACCGCTCCTGGCATCTGCCGCAACTACAGACCAAGGTACTTAACAAAAGAAAACCCCATCACAGCGCGACGAATCCCACATATGGTAGCAGGAGCAGCCAGGCCACTTGCGCGTTGGGAAATCAGGGTGGTTTTCAAAACGAGGAGGAATTACCGGGCTATCGGGGACTATGGTCTCTCCTATGATGCCGGGACCGTAAATGATTTCTACCCCCTTTTCGCGCGAATATGTGATTCTAAGACCCGCCTGCGTTTCAAAACCGTACCCTAGTGATGGCAGAGGAGCTTCAAAGAAAAGGGGGGGATGGGGGCACCAGGGGGTAGAAAGGCCCAGGTAGAGAGGCGCGCGGGTGTAAATGAGATGTGGGACTACCGATGACGATGGAGAGGAAGGAGGGAAGAAAAAGGTAACCAAAGAGTGTTTTTATACCTCTTCTTGGTAAGTCATGAGGTACCCTCGGGGGGGGGGGGCGTGATTAAGAATTAAGTTTTTCCGCCGTTTAAAGAAAAAAACTGAATATTTTGCATTGAGATAAGAGGGGTGGGGGGATAGAGGGCGGTTGCCTATAAAATAGTGCTCACCTAAGAGGGGGGAGAAGGCATATACGCCATGGAAATAGCGACAAGATAACGACAAGATGACCAAGAGACAGCAGAGGGGGGCCTTCATATATACGCCGTAATTGCTGTTCAGCGTGTCATCAAATGGGGCCTCCTAGCTGCGCGGTGCACTATATACCAATAAATGGATAGCGCTAAGAGCTCGTTACAGATCGAAGAAGGATTCTCTCGAGAAAACTGTTTAATCTTAGAGCCAGAAGGTATCGTCACCACTTTTAATAATTGAACAGCAAGACAATAGAGATCATTCAATTCAATATAGACCGCCGGCAGCTAATACAAAAGTTATAGTAGTTAACAGAGAGTCTCTACAGTAATTCCCGCACACGCCCATAAAACAAACATTCAAGCTGCAACGGGAGCGGCAAGGCCAATCCAGGTATCACACAGCATAAGAGATAATTACAATGAGAGATAAGCATTGTAACCCTGACCCACCGCCGTTGCACGTATCACGACGCCAATTCTTGCTTGCCGGGTATCCAACCGCCTCAATACTTTGCTGTTGTGGTTTGGTATCAGGCCTTTGAATCTCGCAGCAGACTTATGCCCCTCATTTTTGCTTCATCCACATAGCGTTGGGGCTATGATACATGTCTTGGGTACTTCCTCTCTGGAGCTATCCATTTTTGCTTGTTGCCTGCAAAACCAACCATCAATACCAGCTAGATTAAATTGATGGACAGCACTTTATCTCGGTGCGAGTATCGCACGGCGCTCTATCACGCCGAGTCAATTCTAAAGAGAATTGTCAGTTACATATCGACCTACACATCCGCCTCTCGCTAAATCCCCTCATCCTCGGTTTTGTCAAGTATTCGCCTCGTCGCTTACTACACTACCCGTGCACTAGGCATTTTGAGATAGCGCCATTGCCGTAGGGGGGGGGGGGGGGGGGGTACTTCAGCCCCATTCAATTCGTACCCCGAACCGAATCCGTGTACAACTACCGTTAGTAGAGGTTGCTAAGCCCCAGATATCCCCAGTGAATAAAATAATTCTATTCCTACATGAGGAAGGAGTCAAGCTGCGCCCAAGGACCAGGTACATAGTAGTCTGCTGGAAGAGGTGGAGATAAGAACCATCAATCCCTAAGATTTTCGCCGGGGGAAAGAGGATGGGGAGATAAGATTGCATGCAAATTCCCCCGGCGGCTAGGTCGGGGGATTTGCGCTAGTGTTAAGGAGGTTGATCTCGCACCTGTGCGCGTGAATCCTAGATTTCTTGTACGGTGCAGCTAAAAAGTTACCCCGGCAAGTTGTATGAGTAAGCTGGACTCGGCCAGGGGGCCGTCACCGGTGTAGGGCCAGGCTTTGAAGCTAGCAATTCTGCATTCCGGAGTTATGATGGGACGATGGCTTCCTAGGTGCGGTAATAATGTTTTGGCTGGAATCGTGTGCCGGGTGGGCCGCGAGGAGAAGGGTTTCTTTGGACGAAAGGAGCAAGCGACGGGCTCGAGAACAGTTCTAGCCTCGCCACAGTCCGTACTCGACCAGGGGCGGTTGTTGGTACAGAGGCCGGCAATGTATCGCATTTATCCGGATAACACTTCGCCGGGCGCAGTTAAACCATCTCTCTCGCTTTTTGACAACAGGGAAGGTTTAAAATCACCAACCAATGACCGAGCATGAAGTAGCCGCTCCGATATCTATGATACCCCGGCCCCGACGCCTCCGGTCCCGAGAGCTTCTAGAGTCACATTATGTGTTTAAGGTGATCGTACGTACATAGACCCCACCGGAAAAATAATCTATCGCACCCCTCACAGCTAATCCCACATTTGCCTCACATTCAAATTAACCCTTTTTCCCCTCATCCATTCGGTCCTCTCCTCCGGCCACTCCTCCAGCCACTCTGGGCACGTCCCAGCAGCAACTGTGGGTACGGAATGCCATGCCCACCTCGCCTCCCCGCTCATGATGACTGCATCACCACTCCTTACCCTAACTACAACACCCTCGTCCTCCCCAACCCCTGCGATAAAAAGCGCCTCACAACCGAACGAAATACTGACCAGCGGCGCAGAACTTGCCTCAGAGACATCACGATGAGGCGCCAGCGTATCCCCTGGCGAGTAAATATTGACAATGGCCGCCTGCGCCGTGATCCCGAATAGCGAGTTCACGAGCGCACAAATATCCGCGGGGAACTCGGGCAGCGAGGAGGGATCCAGCGGGTATTTTTTCAGAGACCAATCGTATTGCCCACCAAGCGTCACCCATCGGAGTTTTTTATCGAGCATGCGGCTGATGGATAAGTCTCGTCCGTCGGCGTTCATCGCTCGGAAGGTAGTCTCCGGGGATGACTCGAAATACGAACCTACGTCTGGCGGTGGGGGAGGCAAGTGGTAGTGGGCGTGCAGGTTCGTTCTATGACGCGGGTCGGAGAGGTCGCGGAATAGCAGTTTGCGCAACAGGGTCTTTTGTAACGATGGAGGGAGCAAGTTGGGTATCACCTGTAGTCCGGGAACCGAGGCGACTTTGTAAACGCGTATGTCGGTCTCAACTCTCGTCGCGTCTGCATCATCGCTGAATGCGGAAAATGCCGCTGATGCGACGGAAGCGCTGATTGTTGAAGTTGCGATGGCGGGAAGGGAGGACGAGAAGTTCGGAGGGAGATTTTCAAAGTCGAGGACTGTAGACGACGTTAGGGGCGATTTTTGGTGCGCTTTATGCAAGGCGCGGATATGCGCTGGTGGGGCATGGTGGGCGTGAGAGATTGGCGGTGGTTGTGGTGCGGTTTTCGTCTTCATTCTGTTCGTAATTTTCAGCAGGAGCGGGAGTGGGGGTAGTGGGACGTTAGGTGTCTTGGCCCCCTGCAGGTCCTTACGCGCGTGGGGGTGGGTTAGGGTTTATTTTGGAGGAGGTGGTATCATATCAGATCATGGCGTGTGACTCGAAAGATTCAGGGTTGGGACGAACGTTGCGCATACGCCACAGTCTACAGTGGCGTAACTCCACACCTGTGGCCTCACCCTCCGAGAACACGTGTCACCAACCCCAACCCTTTTAATGACCACCAGCGCTCCACGGGCCCAAGGGAAAACCCACGAGGGAGACACCAGGCACGGCACGGCACGGGCAGTTCGTTGGCTAACCGAGTAAGTGCAACAGTACTTCTCACAGCTGCCAACAACAATTCGGGGAAGTTGGGGAATCGGCGGGCCCTATTCCTTCTGTCCGCCATCGGCCTATCGTCGCCTTGACGTTCCGATAGGCAGCCATTCTCTGTCCAACCACCGTGTCCCATAAGCCTTGGCACCCCTCCGGGCAGACAGGAATTGACCCGCCGAGGAGAATTAATCTGTAAAGTAAGCTATATTAGAGAGCCGAGCAGTGCATCTGTACCCGCTCCCCCAATTCATTTTTGGGTGAATCTTCAACTCCACATCTTATCTAAAGAAAATGCGGAAAGGGTGAAAAGAAAATGGAATGGAGAATTGGCAAAGAAAAAGTTGCGCCCGATATGTTCTCTCCGTACCTTTTTCTCATCTTTAATCTCTTTGTTTCCTGGTAGGTCAAGGAACTCTTTCGGGGGAGGCAGGAACCTGCCGGGGAACCTCACAGAATCCACAACAATTGGAAAGTACGAGTACAATATGGTTACGAATGCTGATGAAATACCCCATGAGTCCATTCACAAACCCAACGGTATCCATAAAAAAAAAAGAGAGAAGATATAATACGAGTAAAAATAAAGAGAGAGAAAAAAAGAAGAAATTAAAATATGAGAGATTGCACCACATCTCATTGCCCGCTACAGCTTGGAATATAGCGGGGGGCTTAAAAATAGCTCCCCTGCTAAGGGATGGCAGTAGTGATGACGTTACTCGGAATTCAGCAAGTATTCGGAAATCTTGGCAAAAGTAGGGGCCGAAAGTGGCAAGATTTTGGATGCCCGAGTACCGGTGTGGAAACGCCTCGGTTGGCCTCCGCGATCGGACAGTGTTTTCTACCGGACCGTGATTGTGGGGTTTTGCCTGCTCTATGAACCCACTGCCGTGTGTATACAACCGAGGATAGGGTAACCACAAATGGACACGGCTAAAGATTGTGTAATATGACCGATGACCCAGAGATGATGAAGCCGAGCCAAATAGAGATAGGCGGAAGAATCTGTTGGCGTATCGGGTGGTGGTCGTCACCTGTGTCTAACTAATAGAGAGGAAGTTCACTGTGCCCATTGTGGTCACGGAATGTCACTCGCGTTTCTGGGTCTCAGGTTTTGATGTGATAGCAATAGCAGGATGTTTCTGGTAGAGTGGATTCGCAGTCTTGGTGGGATGCGCATCGCATGTTTGCCCCCATTCTTGTTTTTCTTTCTAGCCCGCTTCTCTATCAGTCAACTCTGGGTCACAGACTAATACTTGGTTTCTACTATGCCCGCGATGCGGTGGGTGAGGGCTAAGATGGCCGAGGACTCCTTTCAAGAGGAATAGAGGTTTGCAGGAAAGAAAAATAAAAGAATTCCCCGCTTACACTACATCGAGGAACAGAGTGTTTATCTCCGATCTCTGGTATTTGGGTGTTGCTGTACCTCGGGGGTGTTCGCGGCCATAGAACACGCGGAAACCTGCGTAGGAGGGTACGAGGAATTGACGAATGCAAAACCACCACAATGCGTTTGCGGGTGCTTATTCTGCTCTCGCTGGAGACAGTAGCTATATAGTATCCCTCTTCCTTCCTCGGTTCTCCCTTTCCTCTACCTCCTCATCCTCGTCCGTCTGCAATCCTGCCAATCATCACAAAGCTTTCTGCCACCATCCACCTCGACCTCCTCCAGCACAAACAAGCAAAGTTACACGCTTTAACCATCAAATCTTCTACTACACCAACTACGCCAGACCTGCGTTCGTATCCTCGGCCACTATGACGGGAATTCCACAGAGCGAGGCTCCGATATACTATGCATGGGTAGTTTTTGGGGTGATAACTCTAGTTGGGATCGGGTTTTACTACAGGTATTTTCCACCGTAGATATTTCGTGGAGAGAGACGGCCCTGATTCTAAGAATACGTGATAGGGGGGTTACGGAGAGATACGAACACGATAGGAAGGATTCGGGCAAGGAAGAGAAAACTCGCAGAGAGTGAGAGTGGGAGTGGGGATAGGTCCCGGACAACGTTCGCGAAATTGATTTTTTTTATTGGGATGGCGGAGAGCGGGGCTGTTTTTCATTTTTTCTCCGGGCATTGATTATCACCTGTTATTATTTGCCCGGTTTGTGAATGGAGGGCGAGTTGGAGGCTGGGGCTGCGAGAAAAATGGTTTTTTAAAATGTTGTTGATTAACTGAACTTGGCTAATCACATCGAATCCTTATCGAATGACCTCGTACTTCTCATGAGAATTTAGTTGTCCTTTGAGAGGCCGACTTTGCTCTGAAGGGTGGACGGTAGTGAATATGGGTATTCACTGTTTTCTTTGGAGGGTAGATGTAGTCTGCACTTTTGAATCAGACTATTTATCCGGGTACCCTCGAGTACACTTTTTCGACTTACGAGGCTCTGATGTCGGCTAGCTGTCAGCGATGGGTGTGTCTGTACTACGCTATGTAAGTCCAGGTGAAGACGTTTTGAGATCGTGCTAAATTTGTCTTCCCCCGCCCGCTTGAATCACTCCTGCATATCATCATCTCTCACTCGGTCTGCTCCTGTATTGTTTGGCCACTGCGTGCTTCCCGCAAGCTAGCTCGGCGGTAACTTATGGAATAATAGAGTTTTATGCATGCTGTTGCCTAGCCTTCTTATCATATTTCCCAACTATCCCCCCCTTCTTGTTTTTAACTAAGCTGTGCTATGACTCGCTACTTTAGGTAACTCTTCTTACAGAACAGTAGGATCTTTCGTCAATCAGGAATCGCGCAAATCATAAATTCCTTCGCAGCGGGGATGGGGCTCGATTACAGCATCTGGGGCACGTCCTGTGGGGCCCCATTTCTAGAGGAGTCTCGCGATTCACTCATCCAGAATAAATAGCCGGGCAAAAATGAAGAGGACTCGCTGACTGGATCGGTATGGTAAACTCCATTTGGAGGAATCATGAGTCTCGCGGGGCTATGAGGCGAGGGCTGTTTAAGCGAGGAAGAACAAGGGATGGGGTCTCCTATGCCCAGTCACCGCCCTGTTATGGTCTACAAGAACGAATGTGAGTCCAGTGCGCTGGTCAAACGTATTTCGCCGTTATGTGGAAAACCCTTTGGAGCGGCCTGTCAAACTATGTGTATTGGGTTTTGGTAGTGGAGAATATTTGAAATCACTAGGGTGTAGTAACCACTGCGGTGTCATGGGGGATTCTGGCATTGATGATGCCATAACCTCAACGTTCGCTACGCGGGGAGCCTCCAGGTTGATATTTTTCGTTTGCGTAATCATAGACCCATCTCACCGGCGAAACGGCCTGCCGCCGGCAGCTTCTCCCACATTTGGCTCACATTCAGATTACTCCTTTCTCCTTCGTCTATCGCTTCCTTTTCTCCCCCCACTCAGGATACGTCGCAGGAGCAACTGTCCCCACAGAGTGCCACTCCCACCATACCTCTCCGCCCATGACAATCACCTCCCGGTCCTCGCTTGAACAGCAATCCGCTCTTCGTCTCCGACCCCCTGGATGGTGAGTGCCCCCCAAGAGAACGCAACACTAACCGATAGGGCATAGTTCACCTCGGAATCATCCCCACGAAGCTCCAGCGTATCCCCCGCCGAGAAAACGTTGAACATAACGGCCTGCGTTGTAATCTCGGACGGTGGGCCCACTAGCCCACAATATCGCGGGGGATTCTGGCCACTTCCGTGGCTATGGAAGTGACCGGCCAAACGTCATCCATCAAATTGAGAGGCAGGAAGGCATCCTCAGGGCGTGACTCGAACTAGGAGCTTATGCCGGGCGGCGGGCAAGTGGTAGTGCTCATGGAGGTCCGCCTTAGGAGCGGGCCGGAAAAATGGCGAATGAGTAGTTTGTGTAGAAGGGTCTTCCGCACCGGTGGTGGGAAATAGTTGGGTATCACCTGTAGTCTCGGGGCCGAGGCAACTTTGTATACGGGCATGTCTGAATCAACCCTCAGTTCGCCTGCATCATGAATGCCGGTGATGCGACGGTGGCGCTGATTTCTGAAGCAGTGATGGCTGGAAAGAAGGATTGGGAGTTCGGAGTGAGGTTTCGAAAGTCGAGGACCGTAGGCCGTGTTAAGTGTGATTCGGTGAGTTTTATATAATGCACAGATGTGCGCTGGTGGGGCATGGTGGGCGTGGGGGATTGGCGGTGGTTGCGATGCGGTTTTCGTCTTCATTCTGCTGGCAATATTCAGCAGCCGCTGGAGTGGGGGCAGTGGGGCATTAAGGGTCTTGGTCCTGCTATGAATCGGCCAAGCCGGTCGGGGTGGGTTAGGGTTTATTTTGAAGGAGTTGGCTGTGACTTTAAGGATTCTTGATTGGGATGAAAAATGCGCTTGGACCTTGGTGCCTGGTGTGACGAATAACCTTCCCGAGTACCCATATCCACCGGCTATAAGACTAGGTGTTGCACCGCCGTTGCTATGATACAAGTAGCACCAGCATTTGTAGTAACGTCCGCTCTCGGTATCGGCATTAGCCAGTCGGATCTACAGCACCTGCAGCCTTACCCACCGAGTGTTGGTATCACCTACCCTGACCCTATTCAATGTCTACCGGCACTCCATGGGTTCAAGAAAAATGCATGATGGAAATACTATTAGCGATACAGGTATGGTAGTCCGTTGGCTAACCGAGTGAGCGTAATAGCACTTCTTACAGTTGGGGGATTGGTGGGCACCGCACCTTCTATCCGCGATCGGCCTATCGGCTGCCTTGGCGCTCTGAGATAGGCTGCTGTTCCCTGTCCAACCATTGTTTCCTATAAGCCTTGGGACCCCTCCGGGCGGAAGGGGCTACGATGCGTAAGCCCTTCTCGGCCACCCCCCCTGACTCGGGCTCTGCAGACACACTGTCCAGCTACCCGAAAGCTAGAGCTGTAAGTTACATTACCATTCCGAGCGTATACCTGCTTGGGAGAATCAATCAGTAACGCAGGCTATATTAACGAGTCGAGTAGCTCTTCTATCTTCACTCCCTCAATTTGCTTCTTGGGTGAATCTTTAACTCCACGCATTGTTACCGATGGCGGTACAGAGGGGGGAGAAAAAAATATAATGCAGAATTGGGAAAGAAAAGTTTATGCCCGATTCCTTTTTCTTTGTCCTTGTTTTTCATTTGCAATCTCACCGTTTCCCAGCGGGCTAAAGGACTCATTCAGATAGAGGAGCTCACCGGAGAATGTCATAGAGCTGGTAACGAGGGAAAGTGCAACATAGTTACGAATGCCGATGCCGCGCCCCGAGAGTCCGCTCACAAACCAAGTGGTATCCATAAAAAGAAGAAAAGAGGGAAACTATAGTATGAGTAAAAGGGAAGAGTATCCTACCATCCGTGGCAACCTGAAATACAACGGACGGGCGTAGGGGTAGCCCCATGATATGGGACCATAGTGGTGGCCGTGGCACTTCAACAAGCATCCGGAGATCTTGGCACCAGCTAACTTGCAGCCAGAAAACGCCAAGATTTTGGATTCTCGAGTCCCGGTCTGAAAACGCCTGGGTGTTGAATTCTAGGATTGGGTAGCGTCTTCTACCAGGCTGCGCTTGTGTGGTTTCAGTTTCTCTGCGGTGCTAAGCGCGCTGAGTAAAGAGGAGGATAAGGTAATGACAGATGGACTCGGCCGACCACTGTGGAATATGACCCATAACCTAGAGATGATGAACCCGGGCACAATAGAGCTGGGTGGGAGTATCTGTTGGTCCGTCAGGTGGTGGTTGTCACCTGTGTCTGACTAATAGAGGCGTAATTCGCCAAGGGCATTGTTGTCACGGAAGATCACTCGCGTTTCTGGGTCGCAGGTTTTGGTGCAGTAGCAAAAGTAGGGTGTGTCTAGTTTTGGTGGGGTGCGCGCTCGTATGTTTACCTTTATTATTATATTTTCTTTATCTTTCTTGCTTACTGGTTAAATTTGGGTCACGGAGTGCTATTTGATTTCTACCAAGCTCGAGGGGTGGTGGGTGAGGGCTATTAGGAGCGAGGACTCCTTTCAAGAGGAATAGAGGTTCGCAGGAAAGAAAAATGAAAGCATTCCCCGCCTACTCTACATTGAGGAACAGAGTGTTTACTTCCAATCTCTTGTATTGGGGTGTTGTTGTACTCCGGGGGTGTTCGTGGCCAGAGAACACGCAGAAGCCTGCGTAGGAGGGTACGAGGACTTGACGAATGCAAAACCTCCATGATGCGTCTGTGGGGGCTGGTGGTGCTCTCTCGCTGGAGTCAACAGCTATATAGTATCTCTCTTCCTCCCTCCGTTCTCTCTTCCCTCCACCTCCACATCCTCATCCTCGTCCGTACTGCAATCTTCCCAATCATTACAAGGCTTTCAATCACCATCCGTCTCAGCCTCCTCTAGCACAAACAAGCAAAGTTACACTCGTTAACCACCATATCCTCTATTACACCAACGGCACTCGGCCTGCGTTCGCTTCCTCGGCCACTATGACGGGAATTCCACAGAGCGAGGCTCCGATATACTATGCATGGGTAGTTTTTGGGGCGATCACTCTTGTTGGGATTGGTTTTTACTGCAGGTATTTTCCGCCGTAGATATCTCGTGGAGAGGGGTAGCCCTAAGTCTGAGAATTCGTGATAGGGGGTTTGCGGAGAGATATGAACGCGATAGGAAGGATTCGGGCAAGGAAGAGAAAACTCGCAGAGAGTGAGAGTGGGAGTGGGGATAGGTCCCGGACAACGTTCGCGAAATTGATTTTTTTTATTGCTATGGCGGAGAGTGGGCTGTTTTTTTAATTTTTTTCTCCGGGCATTGATTATCACCTGTTATTATTTGCCCGGTTTGTGAATGGAGGGCGAGTGGGAAGCTGGGGCTGCGAGAAAAATGGTTTTTTAAAATGTTGTTGATTAACTGAACTTGGCTAATCACATCGAATCCTTATCGAATGACCCCGTACCTCTCATGAGAATCTAGTTGTCTTTTGAGAGGCCGATCTTGCTCTGAAGAGGGGACTATAGTGAATTTGGGTACTCACTGCTTTCTCTTGAGGATAGATGAGGTCCGCACCTTTGAATTGGTTTATTTATCCGAGTGCTCTCAAATCCAGTTTTTCGAATTACGAGGCTTTGATATCGGCTAGCCATCAGTGGTGGGTCTGTTCGTGCCACGCCG